AACACAAATTGTTGATGAGTCTTCCTCTAATCCTGATGCTACATTCCTCCTCATAAAGGCCAGCCTCCTGAATGATCTGTTCTGCCTACAAATCGAAAAGATACGGAGACAGGATACATCCATAACACATTCCTTTTCTGATTTTGAACCATGAAGTGCTTTTCTTGCTCTGTTCTGATGACTGCCTCCTGGTCTGAGTATAGGTTTCACATGAGCACAATCAGGTATTCTTCTCAAGATTAGCCACACAGTTTGTTGTGATTAACACAGTCCAATGCCTCTGCATAGTCAATGAAACACAGGTAGACATTCCTCTGGTACTCTGTTTTTGGCCAAGATCCATCTGGCATGATAATGATGTCTTAGTGCCAGAGCCTCTTCTAAACCCAGCTTGTATTTCTGGTAGCTCTCTGTCAATGTACTTTTGGATAATCTTCAACAGGATTTTGTTTGTGTGTGATATCAGTGTTACAGTTTAATAACTCTGTTAGATCAGATCACCTTTTTTTGTTTTGGAAAAGGAATAAATTGGATCTCTTCTAGTCAGTTGGCCAGGTGGCTGTCCTCCAGATTTCTTGGCACAGCCTGGTGAGCACTTCCAGGGCTACATCTGTTAAGACTATAGAAAAATGACAATGCTTATCTACATTAATGTGATTAAAGTTGTTAAAAGAGAAAAAACTGTTCAAGCTTCAAGTTGTAATACTGAAGGATTCTATTGATAAAATATTGAATGATGTAGGAAACCTCATAAGATGAAAAAAATAGACAAAATATCAAAAAGATTCTACCATCACTGAACTTTTAAAGGAAGGGGCACACAATGAAGAAGCAATAGGACTAAAGAAATTCAAATTATACTGCAGGAATTGACAATAAATTAAATAAGACTCCAGGAATTGACAGATTATAAACAAAAATGTTTTAGCAAACCAATGCATTCCTAGACATGCTCTTTTATATTTCGTATTTCACACAAATAAAATCTTGCTGAAGACTATAACAGTTGGAGCAAAAATTCAACAGAGAACTTCCAGAAATTTAAGTTAGATTCTGAAGAGGCCATGTAACGGGAATCTGGTATCACTGCTGGTACCAGACTGATCTTCGCAGAAAGCAGAGAATCAGAAAGATGCTTGCTTGGGTTTTAATGGCCATACATAGGCATTCTACCATACAGATAATAATATGTATAACACTAAGAGGAATAAGAATTCACAATCTATCTTGTATCTAGTTCCAGAAGCTGACAAAGCATTTTCCCAGAGCCTGCAGACTGTGCCACACCTGGCCCAACACACTCCACAGCTATAACTCTGCACACTTGAACTTGTCAGACTGGCAGTGACCATCTCTTTAAACTATCCATGTCTCACTGGGTGCCTGCCTGCAGACATCTTCTGGATGGGTAAGGACACCTTTCCTCACCAGGCAGACTAGAATGTATTGGAACACTGACATTGTCAATACATATTGACAGGGAACTTTGAGAAATTCAAGTGTAGTTCTTAAGAGACTGTAGCATGAAGGATAACACTACCGATGTCTGATAAATCTTGTTCGAAAGCAGAGAATAGCAGAAAGATGTTTACTTGTATTTTCTTGACTATGCAAAGGCACTCGCTAGGTGGATTATCACAAATTAAGAATAACACTGGGAAGAAAGGGAACTAAATAGATATGCTCAGGTAAAACCTATGCATCGGTCAAGAAGCAGCTGCCCAAAGTAAGGGATACTGCATGGTTTCAAAATCAGGAAAGGTGTGTGCCTCCTTCCTCTATACCTATTTGCTGAGTAAATTACTGAGTATCTTTTCTCTATACCTGTATGCTGAGCAAATTATTAGAGAAACTTGATTATATAAGGAATGTGGAATCAGGATTAGAGGAAAACTCATCAATAACCTGCAGCATGCAGATGACACAACTTTGTTTGCTGAAAGTGAAGTAGTTTTGAAGCACTTGCTATAGGAGATCAAAGTCTACAGCTTAATATGGATTACATCTCAACATAATGAAAACAAAAAAGCCTAACAATTAGAACCATAGGAAACATCATGATAAAAGAAATGATTGAAGTCATTAAAAATTTAATTTTACCTGGATGCACAACCAACATCCATGGTAACAGCAGTCAATAAATCAAATGGCATATATTATATTGACAAATCTGTTCTCAAAAACCTCTGCAAAGTTCTAAAGATCAAGGATGTCAGTGTGAAGAAAAAGTCACCTGATTAAGTCATGGTATTTTCAATTGCTTCATATGCACGTGAAAGGTAGACAATGACTACGGAAAATCTAAGATTTAAGGCCTTTGCATTGTGCTTCTGGCAAAGAGTATCTGAAAATGTCATAGAATGCCAAAAGAACAAGAATGCCTGTGCTGGAAGAAGTGCTGGATTGAAGCAAAGTTGGTCAGACTGTCTCACATACTTGTGGCATTGTCATCAGGAGAGCCAGTCCTTGGTAAAAGTAGAGGGTCAGGAAAGGAAAAGAAGACTCTTAAATAGAAGAAGTGACACAGTGACTGACTACAATCTGCCTAAGGGCAAATTGTGGGGATGGTGCAGGATCTGATCTAATCTGTTTCAAGCAGGATTGCAATGTGACTAGATAGCACCTAAAAACACCAGCAGCCAGCAGCTATATAACCCAGACAGAGCAGTAAATTGGATTGCCAATTAAAATGTTGACAGTGCAAACCAACAGCAGCACCCTAAGAGGCAGACTGATGTCATCAAGACTTACAACCTGAGGAGTCCCACCGAGCACTTATATATAGGGACATTGAGTTGGAATCAATGCAGCAATGACTTTAGACTTTGGAATGACAGTTATGCATCTTCTCTTGGGCTTCCTGGTCGTTTGTACATTTTGTGGATCCTCATTGAAGAAAAGTCTAAATTCTTTACCTTCTCTAACTGGGTTGTCCTTCTGTTGTTGAATTTTAAGAGGATTCTCAGTTTTGTCACATTCCACATCACAATGGTTTTCATTCCCCTTATCAATCTAAGTAGTCTGTTGGGGGTTGCACTGTCAGCCTAAAGGAATGCAGTTTAAATTCACTAGTTGCTCCTCAGGGGAAAAGATGGACAATCTCCTTCCATGCCATTTACAGCCTATGAAAATCCACTGGAGGATCATCTGAGTGAGTTCTGACTGGAGGGCACACTGCAAATTTGGTGAGGAACTCTGGTGGTGTAATCTGTCAAGTTGCACCACTAACCCAAACACATACTTCTCTCATAGTTCGAATCCACAAGCACTTCTGTGGGAAAGAAAGGCAATCTACTCCCATGGGATTTACAGCCTCTGTAACTTCTCAAGGGCCAACCATGAAATGGCTCTGATTTGACAACAATGAAAGACAAATCAAAATGAGAGTTCAGGGGGAGGGCTGGGCAGGGAGAAAAGTGCAACAATGAATGAATTTAATCTAAAATCTCTGTAAATGCTCATTAAAATTAATAAAATAAAATTTTTAAAAAATGAGAGTTCAATCAATTTGGTCACTTTTTGTTTAACATTTTACTGCATTTCATTCCAAAAGCTTTCTAAATAATCCATTTATTTTATTTTATTTTTATT